AAAAAAAAAAAAAAAAAAAAGCAGGTGGTGGCCTAGTGGCTTAGGAGCCAAACAAACATGATCAGGGTGTTTTTAGGCTAGAGATGTGGGCGGTTGACGGGAGGGATGAAGACAGCTAAAGGGGACTGAAGGTGGCACACAGGAGTCCCTGCAGGGGCAAGCAGAGGGGTCCAGGTAGAGGGCTGACGTCATGCCTTGGCAAGGAGCAGGGGGCCCTCTGCTGAGACGAGAGGAGGGAGAGTTCGGCAGGGGCCAAGGAAGGCGTGTTGAGGATGAGAGGCCGAGAGCCCCCTCTGGGCGGGGAGCCCGAGGGTGTGTGCAGGGCCAACTCCCAGGCCTCGTGCAGAGTGGGAAGGGTGGAACCTAGGGTGCGGGCGGGGGCGGTGATCGCATACACGGAAACAGACTGGTCAACTTTTGCCTCCAGGGGGAGGTGATTCCTCACTACCCTTCCTCCCATGACACAGGATGGGACTGAAGGCTGCTTAGTGCTGGCAGCAGCTTCAAAGTGAAATGGGATTTTGGAAGCTGAAGCACATCAGGTGTTCTCAGAGGCCTATGGCATGAAACGTTCGTTGGGAAGCACTTTTCTGCGCCACCTAGTCCAGTGTGGGCACCTGGGGGATGGTTGAAAGTTTCCATGGATGAGACTCCGGAATTTTCCCAAAAAGAGAAAGAGGTTTTTTCCATGAGGGGAGCAGATGATCTGGCTCCCCTCCCCGTTTCATCTGCCCCTCACGTGAAGTGGGTCTAGAGAACATCGCTGGCCAGAAAAGCTCTCTTTGAACTTCAGCGACCTGCATGGCAAGGCTGGGAACTTCCTGGGAAGCAGCTTCTGGCCTGCCTGAGCTTCCTGCTGAGGCTTCTCCTGGGAGGCCAGAATCTGAGCCCTGTCTGTCAGTGTGGGTCATCATTGAGCTGAAGAACCCGAGCGCTTCCCTCCAACTGTTTCTGCGGCTTGAGGCCAGGAGAGCGGGCATGTCCCAGGAGGAAGCAGCCAGCAGGCAGCTTCCGCTGCCTCGCTCCTGTGTGTGCACCGCCTGTGTGGGAGCTGGGGCTGCTAGGAACAGACAGCAGCCGCTGTGCACTTCTGCTTTGGCCAGCCCTGCGTGGAGCCTTGTGGCCCAAGGAGGCTGAAATGCAGAGAAGGGTGTTCCAGGAAACATGCGCCCCTGTTGTGCCTACCCTCGCAGGCCTATGTGCTGAGTTGTGTTACCTGGCACTGGACTTAGCGTCATCTCCATTGGCAAATATGGGACCTCTGGGGCGTCTCACGGTCCTGTGTCCTACCCTATTCAGCTCCCTGTCTCAGTTCTTGACTGCTGTTGTGCCTCTCAGTGGCTCCCAATTTCTGAAATGAAGATTAAAAACAAAACTGAAATGCCCTGAGCAGTTCTGCCAGCTCCCAAGTTTTCCACTGGCTTCCTCTGATAGCTGT